CACCACTGCCTGATGTGAAACTGCCACCTATTTGATATTTGACCAATCGCGCAGAATGACTTTGCGCACCACTGCCTGGATGTGAAACTGCCACCTATTTGATATTTGACCAATCATATCGTGTTATCACGCTATGTGCGTGATATGTTGACAAACGACAGAACGATCGCCCAATCGAAATCCTCTCACATCGGTCATCCAATCAAAACGAGACTTGATGTCGGTTACCCAATCCCCATCCAGAAATGTGTCGGTTCGATGTCGGATGCTACCTACATGTAGGTTTTATATGCTTATGCAGACGCTGTGTTACGCTATTCGTACCGAGTACTACGGTACGTACAATATGTGTGACAACGACTTATAACAAGCAAGTTATAGCGTTACTCGGGAGGTGATTATTCAGATGAGTAATTGAATTTACATTGGTCCGCCAGGTTTCCCTATTGGGCATGGAAACCTGCAAAACTAGGGTACAAATGTACCAGCATTGCAATTGGTCCCGAGTTCAATGCTAAATACTAACACTTATTTTCCCCAAAGTCAAAACTGCATCACCTCACGAAGCAGCTTAACGTACGAGCTGGTAAACCCCTGATATGACGTTCAAACTGCTGGTAGATGATTGGTACTTGTCAAAAGGCATCAGCAAGGTAACCCGCTCGGAGTACTTCTTCCAGTCCATGCGTACCACCTCCTTGGTGTAGTCCTTCAGCACAATAAGCCGATGGATGGATCAGCCACCAACCATTGCTGCTATGCCTCAGTGCAGAGTGGGCCGTTGGAATGGCTTTCTGAACAATGAACACGCCCATCGAGCTCTACTTGCGCACCCTCGTGGCCGGTTGGCTCACGAGTGACTGCTGTCGCAAGTTCTTGGCCAACACTTGCCTGAGGTCATCCACAGTAAACGGCAAGCCAACCAACGCGTCACTGTCCGTTTGCCATGGCACTTGACTTTCGCCATGCCTGGTACGAAGCAAACTCCTTGGATCGATCTCGTTGTTGATACTCTGCGTTATCAGATACTCACAACAGGTTTTAGCATCCGCCCTGTCAAGTGGTGCTTTTCCCTCGCCTGTGTTCACGCCTTTTGTCCTCGCCTATTTCTCCCAAACTCTATCGCCTAGTCTATCAACTCTGACAGGCTGTGAGACAGTGGCCGCTTTATACCTGCATGTTCTGCATATTCTTCATGGCGCTACCCTACCCTAGTGATTGCTCACCCAATCACGGCTCTAGCACAAGGAAAAGAGCACTGATGCTCACACGTCAGTGTTTCCCTTTGGCTTAGTTTTAGCCAATACGAACGAAGCTAGATAGTTTGTAAACGACTGAATGTCACTTTTGGCTTTCCCCTGTCCCGCACACTTGGTTTGTCTTGGACACTCTGCGCAAAGTTGCTACACGCCTACCTCCTTTTTCTTGCTTCGTGACAGGTTATGAGCCCATCTACTTCTATGAGCCCTCCTACTTCGACCATTACCGCCTATTCCGGCATTCTCCTCGATGACGCCTACAAATTCTATGCTGCGTGGCGCACCACGTTTGAAGAAGCGCCATGACCGCAGGCTTCTTCTCCCTCTACACCAACGAGACCTACTGCCCCACTCGCATTGAAACCGACGCCTACACCATCAGCCAGGCCAAACTCCAGGTTGACAAGATACGCAATGATGCGAAGTACTCCACCGACGGTTATGCTGGTGACGCCTTGGAACAGCGCCTTGCAACGGTGAAACGCCTCGAACAAGACTTCACGCGCAAGTTTCTGGATGAGTATATCGCGGAGTCCCTCGCCGCCCTACGCGTCCAAGCTAAGACATTTCTTTTCAACTCCCTCACGCCTATTCTCCAACAAGTCATCGGTTCCCACGCCTCTCCCTTCACTCTCTGGGCCGCTCTTATGGCGCGCCATGAAGCTGGCACCCGCGACCCCATGATCCTGTTTGCGAGTCTCAACCAACTCAAGTACAGCGAGGACATCAGTGCCGAGACCCTCTTCACTACTCTCGACGATCAGATGAACTTGATCGAAACGGCAACTCTCCCTGTGAACGCCGACGCTCTTACGGCTCGCGAAGGTCATGTGAAAACGTTTGAGCTCTTTCGAACTCTCTTCTATTCTAACGCCTTTGCCGCCAACAAAGACGTGTGGGAGGTCGTTTGCCAGCTTCAATTCAAGGCGCGCGAGGATGGCTCTGAATGCACGCCTACTGCCATTAAAGCTACTATTCGCCACACCCTAAATATCGCCTCTCGCCGCAATCTCATCCCCTCGGATCAAGGCTCCGGTGACTCCGAATCCCGTCGACGCCAAGTTGCTGCTGCCGCTACCTAAATTTACGCTACGCCTCCAATCGTCTTGTATGCTACGCCTTCCACTTCCCAACCTCCGCTTACCTATACTGCTGCTGCTGCCCCTTCTTACGAGTCACTGCCACGTTGGGCACACTCGAACTGTCACAACTATCCTTTCAATTCATGTTTCTACAGTGGCTCGCCCGAACACCGCCTTCCTGACTGCCGCACCATGCGCGATGATGACAGTCGAAACCGCATTCGTGCCGGCGTTCCCAAGCACGTTGTTGACACACACTGCCGTCGGAAACGTGCATCGTCTCGCAAGATCATTGACGATCATACGCAGCATCATCGCCGCGACCGCGACGACTACGACGATAACCATGGGAACGATCAGGGTCCCAACAGCAGCTATCCCAAGCGCCATCGTGACGATTCTTCTTTCGTGACACGCCCAACGGCACCATGCCATCAACTCCCGAAAGTTGAACCAGCGCTCCTTCGACACAAACACACGGTAGACTCAGACTGTGCAATGATATCCTGATAGGCAGGTCCGGGGTTCTTTCCACAATGTCACCCAGTGTCTTGCGCACACTGTTTTAATCAAGGGAGCGTCTGCAGTCAATCCGAGGGACACCAGTCTTCGGAGCAGTCTAGTTTGGAAACACAAAGGTACTGGTGCCCATATTCTGGCCGGTGGTTCGCAATATGGCAATGTATTCTTCGTTGAACACGCACACGTGCAAGCAAGGGAAATAGGTCACGTCGACGAGGTGGTACACTTGGGAATCTTCTTCGACGTTGGCCTTCTTGTGCCAACGCAAATGCACGGACAGGTATTGTAATGGGGTGCACAGAGGAAGGTGTGTAGAACAAGGTATATTTTTAACTGGGAGAACTAGCTATCTCTAAGCTGGTTTCCTTGGCGCGCGGCTGCGCGCCAGTCATGCAATTCATGTCAAATGAATGGTGCTGCTGCGGATTTCGCAGAGCCAGTGATTCAAGACACTTGGATTGCCAAGTGTCCTCTCGGGTCAGGATTGGAACTGACCAATGGGGTGTCGTGTCCGGATGGTATCCGGACCCCGCTACATCCTCCCACACTCAAACTTGATTGGTCGAACGTGGGACAGGGATTGAGAATTCCGAACAATCGTTGGAGAATTCGGAACGACCGTTGTCGTTAGTAGTCATTGTGAAAAAAGCAACGCAGCGAAGGATGAGCACCTTCAGAGCGTCGAACTGGGCCGCCGATGACGGCGGCAATGGTGGTGGAGCCCGGAACAGCCGGAGGCGTAGCCACGAGCGCTCAGGACCGAGCGCACGCTCTCCGTCGCGGAAGCGACGGTGCGACGATGACCGAGGACGACCATACCGGCGAAGCATGCCAGATTTTGTGGTGATCTCGGTAAGTGCGGACGATGTTTTCGTCCGCACGGATTGGACTCTCCCAGATGTGGGAGTGGCGGACTACTCGATGGACCGGGCGGTGTCTGGAATGCGAGCGTTGGCTCGTAGCGTGGAACAGTATGCGCGCATGGAGGAGTGTCGAGCTCCACGCAGCGAGTTGCTGCGGCAATACCTCGATGGCGTCGAGGTGTCCTCATTGATATGCGGCCATGGCGTGCGTCTGCGATGGAATTCGCTGAGTTTTGCGGCGAGCGCAAGTACTGTGGCGAGATTATCGCCGATATGCGGGTCGCTCCACTGCAGGAGGCGACCATTTGGGAATACGTTGGGCTTTGGTGGGCTCACCTTGTGCGTAAGGTGCCAGTGCCGAACGCATTCCACTACCAGCAGAAGCTGGTTGAATACTTAGCAAATTTTGCTAAGTGTCGTGCCGAGCTGCCTCGGCTTGGACGGGACTTCGTCCACCAGATCTCCGAGTACTGTCGAAGTCGCGACAGAGAGCACGGAGAGGTGAGTTGGCTGGTATATCCAGCTCTGATGTCCATTGTGTAGGACCATGGGATGCCGCGATCAGATACTTGCGGCCATCAGGGGCCCAACGAGAGCCCTCCCTTCACCACGAACTCGTGGTGCGGCAGTTGCAAACGCTGACGTCGCCCACGACGTGTTGAGGCGTTTAGTTGCTCTTGAGGCGCGCTCGGCGCAGCATGACGCCGTGGCCGCTCGCTTGTCTGCGGTTGAGCGGAAGGTGAAGGGGTATTGTGTGACGCGACTGGAGCACGATGCCGTGCTTGAACGATTGGCAACTGTCGAGCGCCTGATGCAGGTGACTCCTCCGACATTAGGGTCGGAGGCAGAGGTCCTGCATCGCTTGTCGCGGGCTGAAGCGACGCTGAAACGGCACCCGAAGCCACAAGACTTGGAGGAATGGTGTGTGCGGGCGGAGGTGGTTGCTGGCGCAACAAAGTCTGCTGTTGGAGACCTTCATGGTCGGGTCGTGAAGGTGGAACTTGCCCTGCAACAGTTGCAGGAGGATCAGCGGGATACGCTGAAGAGCGTTCGTGAGGAGTCTCAGCGTCTTTGTGACGTGACTCTTCGCGTCGTGGAGCTGGAGGTGCGCGTGGAGCATTTGCTGGACACTGCTCCCCATCCGACGGCGAGGCCTCGCCGTCGATAAATCGGGGTAAGTGGCGATTGATTTTGCCGACGTCGAACGTCGGGTGTATTCGCCAGACATTGGCAGGTCGAGTTTCATTGACGTTGGACTGATGACTTCTTTGATAGGGAAGGGGTCAATCGAGGGAACCTGGAGCTTTGGGTTGCGCAGGACCGTCGGAGGCGCCGCAACGACTTGTTGAGATAGACTAAGTCTCCAACACAGAACGTACTGGTGTTCTTGCGACCGTGCTTGTTGGCCTGATGGGCTTGCTGATGTTGCGCATGGGCGATATTGTCGCCAAGTTGACGCATAATGGAGCTCCGGAGGCGCAGAAATTCTTGGATCGACGCTGTCGTGCGTAGGCCAGGGGAGATTCCTCCCACACTCAAAGTAGACACACCGGTGTCAGTGGGAAGACGGGGGTGACGCAGATGGTTTGCGTAAAACGGGGAAACCCCATGGAGGCGTGGATCGAGGAATTGTAAGCAAATACCACTTGGTGGAGTAGGGAACTCCACGTGCGAGATTTCGACGCAGCATAACTGCGGAGCACATCTTCGACAACGCGGTTAGCGCTATCGGTCTGACCGTCAAGTCTCGGGGTGGTCGGCCGAGGACATGTTGAGGCGAGTGCTAATGCGGGCAAACAAAAACTTCCAGAAAGCGGAAGTGAAACGTGGGTCTCGATCGGAGACGATGGAAGTAGGGAGGCCAAAGCGACAATAAATATTGTCGAAGAAGAGCGCGGCACAGCGCTCAGCTGTGATGCTCGCCCTGACGGCGACTGCCACAAGGTACTTCGACCCCCGGTCGACGCATACCCAAATGCCCGTGTTGCCGCGTTGGTCGCGGGGAAGGCCAAAGATGAAGTCCATACTGACGGACTCCCAGAGTTCGCTGGGAACTTCCAAGCTCTGGAGTGGAGCCTGGGTGGACGCGACGGCCTTGATTGATTGACAGACGTCGCAGGAGGCGACGTAGCGAGCAACGTGTTTATACAAACGCGGCCACCAAAAGAGGCGAGCGACGGTAGTGTACGTTCGATCGCGGCCGAAGTGGCCCCCGCTTGGGGTATCGTGGAGCTCGTGCAGGATGTCCTGCCATAGAGAATAGTCAATCGGTCGTGTTGGTGGAATACAGCAACAGACCGTCGCGAACCGAATAGCGGTCGAGTTGGGGAATGCGAGAAGGTATCGCTACACCATCATGGAGGTGGGTGATGATCGGATCCAAAGCGGGGTCCGTTGTGTAAGCTGCTCGGATGCGAGCCAAGAGTTCCGAGTGGACCGTGGAGATGGAGGAGAGCTCCATGTCGTCTGCCGACGGGAGTCGGGACCAAGCATCCGCGACAACGTTGCCGCGGCCAGGCTTGGATTCAACCTTCATGTTGAATTCCGAAAAGAAAGAGAGCCAGCGCTGCATGCGCTGGGACAGATGCGGTGAGTGGACGGCCGTGCGTAGCGATGCGTGGTCAGTGAAGACCACGAGTTCCTCCGAACCCAGGAGGTAGATACGAAACTTCTTGAGCGCGTAGTACATCGCCAGAAGCTCCAAGTCATGATAGTTATTCTCGGACTTGTGGAGCTGGCGGGATTGGAACGATACCGGGCGATCGCGCCCCGAATCGTCGCGCTGCATTAGGCAGCAACCGATGGCGCGGATGCGTCGCAGACCACGAAGAAAGGTCTGGAAAAGTCTGGCAGAGCCAGAACTGGGGCCATGGTGAGGCTCGCCTTGACGGCCTCGAAGGCCACTGGGCACTCTTGGGAGCATACCCAAGGAACGTCCTTGCCAAGTAAGCGTGTCATCGGGCATGCCAGGTCTGCGAAATTCGCCGAGTACTTGTGCAGATAGGTGGCGAGTCCCATCCAACTGCGCAGTTCGGGGACTGAGCTTGGCGATGGCCAAGCTTTGATTACGGTCACCTTGGCCGGGTCCGCCCGGCAGCCGTTGATGCCAACGAAGTCGCCGAGGACAGGAATCTCGGGTACCCCGAAGAGGCACTTCGACAGGTTCGCATATAGACCGGTGTCTCGCAGTGTCTCAAACACCAAACGTAGGTGTGACCGGTGGACATCCACGTCGGATTGCGACGAACTGGCACGGCTGTGGATGTAGACGTCGTCGAAATACGACGGAGCAAATTCGCGAAATGGACGGAGTTTCTCCGTGACGACGCAATTGAAAGTAGCAGGGGCGTTCTTGGGCCCCTGGGGCATCACCAGCCATTCCCAGA